TCAAGGCTGGGTCGGTGTGTCGCTCAGCCAGCCAACGTGTCTGGCAGATTTCCAGCTTGGACTTCAGGCCAGTGACAAACCAGGTGGAGGTTGTTTGGGCTTCAGGGTGTACAACTTTACATAGATGGGGTAGGTTTCCATATGGTTTTTGGGAAGGTGGTTTTCAGGGTTGCATAGGACTGTTGGTGGGTGTCTCCATGGAGTGTCCTTCGGCAAGACCACAAATGATGATCTTGGGTTGCACATGTGTTTGTAGAATCCCTTACAAGAATAGACCACCCTAGTTTCGAGACTTTCCGATTCTTCAACAGCCTTCCCGTGCCGGCAGGTGGACCGTGAGGTGTAGGGTGTGGGGTCTAGGATTTCAGGTGAATTTGGACCGGATGTTCAATGCGAAGCTGAAGAGGGACTGCCGCTGCCTGGGACTGACATGAGATTTTCGTAGAAGCGTTTCACAACTGCCATGTCCAGCATATTGACCAGAAACAATGCCTTCCTGTTCAGCCTGTTCAGCAAGACGTCTGCCATGTCGTATATCATTGATGTCTTAATCATTCTGATGCTTGCAGACTTACCCACTTGGGCTGGCAGGTGACTTCTGCTTTGACAACCGGCCTCACTGCACGGAGAACCACAGTGTCAAGGCATGACTATGTGGCGCAAAGGCCTCCATACTGCAACCCTAGGCAATGAAACCCTTGCTTCTGAAAGACACCCACAACGGACCCTCAATTTACAAACCCTCAAAAAGGGACCCTGAAGCTTAAATAGCCCCCCCAATGGCAACCAAAGCCTAAGAACAAACGGTACTTCTACACATCTGTCATCATCAGACCGACACGCTGCACTCTAAGCGCAACATGCTGGTGCCTCAGCATCCCGTCGCCGCTGAGATGTCGGGGCCTACTGCAAGGCTGATATGCATGTGTGGTAACAGGAGGTAACCTTTGGAAGCCTGGATGCGCAAACTGGTTCGAAAGTACAAAAAAAAACTTGTTTTCTTGAAAGTTGTGAGCAGATTGTCTATCGTGGCGGTCATCGAACAAGCAATCAAAATCACCCGTCCACCAATTGTCAACGTTCCGAACGTGAACCTAAATGCACTACCTACAAGCATTTATCTTTCCAACAACGAAAATCTAAGCGTGTGGAGCCATACCCACAAAGGTAAGACAGAACTCAGAGGGCTTCTCCACAAAACATGGTCTGAGGCACTAAGGCTGGAGGGGCTGCCCAGGAATCGTCCGTGAACTCCTTGCCGTGCATCTTTAAACCGTTCCCCAGCTTTACTCGCACAACAACAAGCGTGATGTCATCATCCTCGTCCAAGGATGACAGGCCCTGATTGCTCCCATCACCCCATGCACTGACTTAAATTAAGTTACTATATTGGGGAAACCCTATTATTTACTAAATTGGGGAAACCCTATTATTTACTAAATTGGGGAAACCCTATTATTTACTAAATTGGGGAAACCCTACTATTTACTATATATACCCATTATGCTCTGGAGCCTCGGCAAACACTGGCGCAAATATCTGGGCCATCAGCGGATTGTTGGTGCTTTCGCCATGGCGCACCTGACGAAGTAAGCAGGTGCTTTCTCCTAGCCACAGCAAATCGGACGCAGTCTTGACAGGAACTCGAACTCCCAGCTGCGGGCCATAATATCCTAAGGAGCAAATTACCTGATCAACTCCCGAAGCCAAGTTGCACCTGCATTAGGCAAATGAGAAAATGTTTTCAGAACGCTAGCCTCGGCAAGTATCACCATCAATACCACTGCCACATGCCCTACCGATACCGCAAGCAGCACACCCGCTGCCACCACCATGACGGCAACGAGGAGAAGTACTAGTAGTAGCATTGTTGCTCGGATACTAGTGCTCGCACTAGTTATTCCTGCCAGTATCAATATCAGCATCAGCACTAGTACTAGCGCTTCTTCTGCCAACATAGAGCTGGGTTGGCCCCTAAAACCCTTTGAAAAATATTAGTATACAGGGTCCCTTAGTAAAGCCATTAGGGCAAATATTAAATATCCCAGGGGCCTACCCAGAGAGATGCCATGACTTCCAGTGCAGCCGCTTTGCAAGCAGAACGTGCAACTCGCCAGCAGCGCTCACAGCTGAGCCCGCCATGGCAGAAGCGCCTTCAGAAACACCTATATAAGGCAGGATTATAGAAGCTCACATATGCATTATTTAGGGTTATTTAAAGTTATAAAGGGCTATGTACGAATTTTAGAGAAACATGTAAGGTTATATAGGGTTTTATACTTGAAGGGCTTCTCCAAGTAGAGGTGGCAACCTTGTAAGATCTGGCATTGTCATGAACCATGGTCCTTCGCCTGACGAGCCCTGGTAAATTATCCTGTTTTTCTTGCCCTTTTGGGCCAGCCTGTTGCGCAGGGTTCGCAGGGAAGACCCCATGTTGTCACACAGCTGGTGCTAGAGGCTTGGACATGTGAGCTATACTCTAAACTCTTATCATCCCCCTTAAACCCGATAATAATCCCTATATCACCCCATTTAAAGAGTTTAGATCCTGAACCCTAAACCCTAAACCCTACATGATCCTCCTATCTAACCCTTCTTTGAGGGAGTTTAGACTATAGCTGATATAGCAAGCTACAGTGAAGGAGGTGAGCTTGCAAGGTGCTGCCCAAGTCTCTTCCCAAGTAAGCTGCGCACTCCACCAAGCAGAACCCTGAATGTTGTGATTCAAATCAAATCTGGGTTGCCGCTAAGGAACCTAAATTAAGGTACCACAATGCGTATGTATAGCGATTAACAGGGTTTCCCCAATATAATAACTTAACCCGGAATGTTGTGATGATTTCTTGAAGGTCAAATCCCCGCTAGACCCCCAAAACCGAACCGCTCTTCATTCTCGGGACCACTATGAGGGAGACAAAAATCTGGCGCACCCCTATACAAGTATGGAAAACTTTGTTTCAGGGGCGACTGAGGGTGCTGTGCAAGAATGAGGCTCTTCTCGGCATGTTTCCACAAACCATTCTACTCTTCAGGTGAAACTGAGAAACGGAGCCCTTACAAGCAACAATGATAATGCCTAATTCCTGGACTTCTAAACCTAAAAGCCTAAAATCCCGGACCTCAAAAGTAGGTAAAATCCTCGCCCAAGACTCTGTGATTATCCTACATACTTGTAAGGGTTCATGTAAACCCACGAAACCCTACACCCTAAACCCTGAACCCCAAGACCCATTATTCTACATACTTTTAAGGGTTCAGGTAGAGCCAAAAGCCTGGCCCCTTCGGTTTCTCCTCAGATCTTGGAACTCAGGATTCTCTGCCTTGCCTCGGGCCTAACGGCTACCTGGCTAGCTACACCGTGTGCTTGAAGCGCCTTTACAAAGGTACTATTTAAGGGTCATATGGGTAGTTCCCAAAATTACGGTCCCATTTTGGTGCCCCTAAATATTAGGTGCCGTAATATTTCATGTACCCAGGGGCTCATAATTTTGAGAACAGCCCATTTATGGGATGTATGATATATGCTAGTTGTTCGAAATACCTGTCCCAAAATGGCCAGAATGTAGGTTCCCTGTTTGGGATCCTCTTTTAAGGAAGTGTATTCCCAGTGGTTCCTTCTCTACAAGGACCATTAGAACAACCCCCATATAGGTTTTCGTTGGGGTTGTGTAGAGGCTGTATGGGGGTTATGTAGGTATGCATCGGGATACATAGCGGTACTGCGGCATAGGGATTACAAGGACCAAGGTGAGACTTCGGGCTTGGGGATCAGGATTTTGGGGATCAGGATTTAGATTCTTGTAACCCTAAACCCTAAACCCTAAAATTTAGATTCTTGTTGGCAAAAGGGACTCCATGGATGAAACCCGGGCTGCTAAGGGACCATGAGGTTATATAGGGGGTATAAAGGGGAGAATGGAGAAGAAAATGGGAGCGACTATATTCCAGCTCTTATATAAGGGGTTAGGTACTATGGATAATGACTTAAATGTAGACCCATGATGAATAACCCCCCCTTGAAGGGCCTAAATATTAGGATCCCTGTTACAATTCCTATTAAGGGGAGGGGGTTTATTAATCAGGGGTCTGGGTTAAGTAGAACATACAGATACTATGGACTTGATTATTACATGGGAGATCATGGGAGTACCCGAGGATTACTTTGGGATTCGTGTCGGAACATATTGCAATTGCCCACGGACACTTCGGCTTCAGGGAGCAAGAGAGCCCGAACGCTCATTCATTCAGCAATCAGCTTTAAGTAGTATTGTGCTTGAGATTCTTCATCCGATTTACAAGCTCCCTGCAAATTTGAAGGTATGTCAGGATAGGAATTGTGCATAGTCTACATTAAACCCGCAAATTACTGGATAAGGGACAGAGCTCCGTCGATAGATCTTCCCATTATTAATATGAGAAATAGACACTTCAAGCACTCTTCGTAAGGGTTTCCCTGGAGATCTGAGCCACAGTTCGCTCAAAGTATGCATCGGGTCCCGGTAAGGTACATACCTCAAGCTATTGAAGAATTCTTCCCATTATTTGAGGATCATCTCTTAAATAGGCTTTCTGCTTGTTGGGCACATCCTGTCTCTTTGAGCCTTTGGAAGAACTGCTTGACTCACTGCTGCTCAGTCCAGAGATGGAACTGTTGTGATACATGCGGCTGAGGCTTCAAAACTCCAGAGTTCTACACCCTGAACCTGAAACCCTAGACCCCTAAACCCTGTAGGTACATTCTCTGAGCACATGCGAAAGCTTCAGCACAAGACAAAGACGGCACATGCAATTGAGCCTCGGCCCTCATGTGAAGGACTACCTCCTGAGCTACATATACCTCAACCTCAAAATTATGTACAATGACATGCTCTTGTGTTGTTTAATAGGTTTTGGCCACTCTTTTACCTAGCTGTTGGGGTCCAGGTATGTGTGACAGGTTCTGAACTACTACAAGCCAGGCATGAGTGAGTCCATCAACAGTATGAGCCATAAACTCAATGTCACAGTGCTACTTCTACAGCAACCTCCCATCTCACTGGGCTGTTGGTGTCCGAAGAGGCTTCAAAGACCTGCATCCACATTGAAAAGGAGCTGCAGCCTTTGAAGGGTCTAGGCTTTAGTTGTTTTTTTTGTTTGTACGGTTTAGGGTTTAGAGCCCCAGACAGAGATTACAACAAAGGAACGCAGCGCATACTTAATTGGTCTGAAACCCTTGTGGTGGAGAGGCAAGTACATCAAAATGCCGGCTTCAGGTTTAGACTTTAGACTTCAGGGCTTTAGCCTTGTGAAGCCTGACCGGGGTAACGCTCATGGTAACCACTGCTCTACCGGCGAAAATAGTAGTGTCCATTTTCTTTTCCATTATCCCTATATAACCCTATATGTCCTATATGATCCTCATATACCCCTACATAACCCCGTCCCTAAACCCTAAACTCTAAACCCTTAAACCCTAAACCCTAAATCCTTAAACCATATAACCCCCATCTTTTTCTTATAGCAAGCATGTTAATGGAATAATGGTTGTCCTCCTCGCGCCGCGGGATGTGCAGCCTGAGCACCACGGGCATCAAGGTATGGCTCCATTGAAACCACTGGAAGTCACGGTTTAGGGTTTAGGGTTTATGGTTTGGGGTAAACATGTAGTAAAATATTATAGGGGTAATATTAGGTTATATAGGGGTAATCTTAGGGTTGTATGGGGGTAATATTAGGTCATATGGTGCAATGTTAGGGTTATACGGGGATGATATAGGGATAAGTGAAATGAAAATGGAAACTACTATGTGTATATTGGGGCTATATAGGGTCAAGGGAAAAGAAGATGGCAGCCCATCCCTTGCTTTTGGGTCCCGACACTCCACAGCTGTTTGAAATCCTGGCGTCATGTCCCTAAACCCTAAACCCTAAACGAAGCCATGGAGCGACTCTGGTCGCAACCATGCAGAGGCACTTCGAGAAGCTTTGCCTTTGAAGCCTGGAAAGGGAATTCCAATACTCAGCAACGCTTGACAAGAGGGGTTTAGGGTTTAGGGCTTTAGGGGTTTGGGGTTTAGAGGGGTCCTTGGAACAATTCCTAAAACAGGCAATCGTATTCTTAGATGTGCCCCTGCCGTCGTCCACAGGCTGTGAAAACCTGTCTTCCTACATTGTACTAAAGCAACTGCCAATGTCTCGTTCAACGCACGGAAAATGCTGCTAAAATAGCATGCGGCAGCAGCACCAAAAACAACAGCAGCAACATGCACAAGGAAATCTAGCAGAGCGGTTTTAGTTTTGGAGCTTTGAGTTTAGGATTGTGGGTTGCCAGGTATCCTGCCTTCAACTGGCGATTCACGCAGAAGGCAACAAGGAAATAGTCGTCTCAGAGACGTGCCCGCTGACAGCTTTTCTCTTACCACACCCTCTCAAGATGAAAAGTGAACCCTTGTCAAATCAGTATGCCAACATGGACCCCCATACCACCTCAACATTAAGTATTGCTCATAGTAGCCTATATGTACACGGTTAATCTGGAGGGTGGAAAGTTTTCGGATCTCAGACATGAAGCAGTGTACATGGTTGTTCATTTTTCAAAGTTTCTAGGTGAGCCTGATCCTCCAATCTGAAAATCTGTCATACTGCTGTATCAGTTGCGTGAGAAACGCACCAAACTCTGAAACGCCTCAATGCGTACCTTTCTCTTCAGATCAAGGGAAATCGATGCTGACAAAAGAGATGTCAAGAGCTCTGCGGCCTTTCCCGTGGCCCTTCACCTGCTCCAGCTGGAAATAGGACAGGGCCTGGCAACAGCACACGGCATACAACGGCTCCATCGCACATTAGACAGGAGTTTTCGAAAACAAGGGTCGCTGTGTCAAGGTCCTTAAGTTTCCCGTCTCTTTGGGGATCATCTTTTGCAGATGCTAGATCTTCTTGATGTTACCAACCCCATTTCAAAAAAGCATGCTGTCACGTATGAGCCCCAACCTTGTCTGGGTTGCTGTTAAAGAACTTAAACTAAGATGATATCGTAAGGAAACCCAACCATTTACGATATACCCACACTATCGCAACTTAATTTACATTCCTGAACAGCAACCCAGGAACCTTCTGTGCAGAGCACTTTGCCACTGGCCTGCCGCAACGCAGGGAGCTTTGCCTTCCGGCACGGCTGCCCAGCAGGCAAGGAGCTCGGCCTCAATTCGAAGCGTGAAAGTATAAGTCAGATCAGAATAATGAAAGGGGCAACTTTGCAGAAAAAATCAAGAGCAGTATGTGGCAGCAATGAAAAGGTGGTGCCTGAGCGTTTGCAAATGACTGATGGAAACTCCTTGGCCCCTGCTCGTGGGCTGATGGCCTCCCCTTTACCGCATCCTGGGGTTAGGCGTTCTACACACCCATCCTTATCCTTCCTTTACAGTGTCCCAGGAATATCCCCGTATGAACAGATCTTCTAAGCCATCGGCAACCCCTGGTCTCCCAAAGGATGCTACCCAGCGGCCCAAATATGCGATGATACCGCAGAATCTGCAGCACCGACGCAAAGGTCTCTGAATCCTGGACAGGTCAGGCCAAGCTTTGTCTCTGCAACTCTGCAACCCATCTTGCCGTCCATCAGGCATTCTCTCCACGTCTGAACTACATAAGCAAGCCTCCGTAGTGTCTTGCATGAAACCGCGGACATATCCTGTAAAGAGTCCGACAGCTATCGCCACCTATTCACTTCCTCCACTTTCCGAAGTCCTAAGACATGTGCTAGAAAATCCTGAAAATGCTGACAGCACAGAACGAATAAATCTAATTTGGCCGAGCCTTTCCTAATATCTGAGTAAACCCTTCTGCACAGTGGCCGTATGTCAAACTTAACACAGATAGCAAACCCTGCAATGGGATGGGATTCCAAATTGTTGGGGCTCTTGAAGGTGAACAGCTTTGGTACTCAAATGACAACGAATCCTAAACAAGAGCTGCCATAGAAACACACTCAAAGAAGAAACAAGCCAGATGCTAGCAAACCTGGAAATTGTGCTGTTACACTGTTTGCCTGCCTACACACAAAAAAAAAAGATCGCCTGACCATGGCAAAAAATACTGTGATAAAATGCTCCACTCTTAAATCCTGCTCCTTGCCTTTTGGGATTGGAACGGTATTGCTATTATCAAGCGTGGCCTGATCAATGCGCACCGCATTGCCGACCAGATCACTCTCTTGGAGGGTCCAGTCGCCGCCTCATCGCCCGAATCTTCAGAAACTCTTGATCTGACAGTTGCTTGACTGGGCTGCACGGTCCTGCGCACAGCTGTTTCAAGGCAAATTCGAAACTCTACATGTGCCTCAAGGATTACAATCCACGAAAAGAGTGCAGCCAAAAAAATATCATCATGCAAGAATGAAACAGAAATAAACCATTTCTAGTGCCCATGCTTTGCTCTAGGAAAAGGATTCAGACCAGCCCTTTCCAAATCTACTAATCGAGAAGAAGATGCTAAATTCATGCACACAAAACAGATCCAAGCTCCGCACCGAACCAGCGTTCCAGCATTGAGCCCGTGCCTTGCCAAATCAGTCATCTGGAAATTTGTCCAACTTACGAACCCTAATAATGAGAATAATAAACATATTCACAACACTAGTAATAATAGCCCGAATATAGTAAATACTAATAACCCAACTGTTTCCAAGATGGGCGGGAAACCTCCAGGGCATCATCTTAGGGTGAAGACGTTATTATCCAACTGTTAATGAGTAGCGGCAATACCCAATGTGTAGGGTTTAGGATGATTTGGCTGCGGATGTTCATACATTCGGCAAAGGCAAAGTAAGCAGAACCATAGCAACTTCCTATCCTCAAGATTACACGCCCTTACAAACATTTCCGTCCCATAGTACTGTGAGTTTTTGTTTTTTAGCCAGCGCTTGTTCAACATGATCCTTCTTTCTGGGTGCCTACTGGGTTGTCCAATCTGTCAGGGTAGAACTTTCAATTGGTAAACAACATCCCTCCTATGTCGGGAGCAGAAACTCAAGCCGGTGCCAAGTAGCAGTGCAAGAGCGTTGCACGGCTGGTTGCCAGTATGCGCCCAGCAGCATTGAAGTAGACCTGAACAGGAGACTGCTTACATGCTGAGCAGGATTTGTGTTTAGGGTGTGAAAGTAACCCTTACTTCCCTCGGCTTATTGGGATCTTCTGTGTAAGAACTCCAGTGACAAAAGGGAAAACTCGCGACGAAGAAATCACTCGCTCAATACACCCGTACAAGAGTGTGCAGAATGAGGAAACTCCATTTTTGGGTGTGGCCGCATGTTCTGGGTAGGGTAGCTTTCGGGCCTTAAACCCTACACCCTGAGTTCAGAAACTTCCCCTCCCTATCAAAGCAGCGCAGAAGCCAGCGTGCAGAAGTCTGCCACTCCAGTCAAGCCAAGTGGCAATGTCCTGAGCCCGGGAGTGAAAAACACCCCTACGCGAAATTCATGGATTTCTATTGAAGGTTCAGGTCAAAGGGTTTAGAGTTCAACGTCTGCCTCCATGATTCTATGACTAATGCTGCCCAGAGCTACACGAGTCGTTTGCTAAGATTAATAGGGTGCCGGCCCTTGACTGTCTTGCAATTCGGTGAGACATGACATGGGGTCACTCAAAATCAAGCTACCCTGAAGGACCACCGGGATATATTGTATTTTGAGTGGATCAGGGAAATCTCTTCTAAGGATTTTCCGGGGGGCATATGGAAAAGACTCACATAGAAACTGCTAGTCGGAAAGCAGTGATCCCTACGCACACAAGTGAGCTTTGCCCTATGGTTGTCCCCAACACAATCCCTTATACAACCCCCTATAAGAAGTTTAGACTACAGCTTAAGTGAGCTATAATCTAAACTCCTAGTATCCCCCTTAATAACCCCTATAGCAGTCCCCTATATAGTCCCCTATATAACCCCCTTTAGGGAGTTAAGACTACAGCTCAAGTGGGTTATCGAAATGATGATCCTTGGAGTGAGTTGTTGGACTATGCGAACGGATATAGTCCCCCTTAGGTAGATAGAATGTGGGTTATATGGGGATCCTATTATAATATGCCCAAAGCCATATTCTATCTACTTAAGGGGGACGATACTGCTACCAAGCTGCCTGTACAGAAGCCTGCAACGATTTTGGAGTGGCAGACCGATCGACAAACTTGTTAAATTTGTGTCATAGCTTTGGAAGCCTAAGCTAGAGGACTTTACAAAAAGCCAAGGCCTTACACCCTGAACATTCTTCTCGTTATCATCACCAGCCTCATCAAAAGTCACTAGCATTGTCACCCTTGCTCTCATTAACTTTCTTGCCACTGCTCTTCCTCCACCTGCTCCTGCTGCTGCTCCTCCTGCTGCTCCTCCTACTTTGCTGCAGGTGCCAAGCTTGTTGTCATTGCTTCTCCTGCTCGCCACGAGCAGTAACAACGTCTTCTTTTCTTTTCGATTCCAAGTCTCTGGTTGTTGTACTTCGCTGCCACTTGGCAAGGTGGAGCCTCTGCCCCCAAGCAGCCGGATACCTTCCGGGGATGCTCACTTAAGGTAAACACCCTCGCTTACGCTCTCCAGAAAAGTGCACAGAACTGCGACTTTTCAGCTGATGTACCAACAGCAGCTGATTTGGGGTTAGCTCAGAACATGGAACTGTTGGAATCCCAACTACAGGGGATCATGGAGGTCTCTCTTGAGGGACCTTCCTACGATCAGTTGTTCTGAGAACAGCGGGAGTGCTACAGCATGAGCTCAAGGCATCACAGCCAAGATGCTATAACAGCTTTTGATCAAGCCACACATCTGCTATTGGGAAGTACGAGTAGGGCAGTCCCTCAGACAAAAATATCGCTGCTAGCCATATCTTTCGCACTGACTCCTAAAAGAAGCCACATACAGAAGACGCCTGTCCGCTCTGTTTCGAACTTCTCTAGCTGGTCCTGGCCAAAAAGATGCGGCGGATTGGGTGCAATCCCTTTTGGGATCGCTCAAGGACCCTACTGATTCAAACGGACTGCGATTTAGTACGCATGTGGCAAACAGCCGTGTTGCAGTGATCAAGACTGTTCACATCCACCCTATATCTGCCCTCAATCCCCTAAACCCCAGAGCCCCCAGGCCCTAAGTCCTAAACCTTAAACCTACTCACTAAACTCTAAGCCCCCTAAACCCTATAGTCCCCCTTAAGTAGATAGAATATGGCTTTGGGTAAATTATAATAGGATCCCCATATACCCCATATTCTATCTACTTAAGGGGGACTATACATATACGGCAATCTACCCCAAAAGCCTGTTACAGCTTTTCAGGCCTTGCAGTACCTCTGCAAACCTGAAAG